TGTGTGTGTGTGTGTGTGTGTGTGTGTGTGTGTGTGTGTGTGTGTGTGTGTGTGTGTGTGTGTGTGTGTGTGTGTGTGTGTGTGTGTGTGTGTGTGTGTGTGTGTGTGTGTGTGTGTGTGTGTTTGTTTTTAGACTGAGCATTAGATCTTGTTGCCAGCTTAACTAATCGTTACTAAAGGTTGCATCCATACAATACGGATTCGTCGTTGAAATTAAAAACACCAAAAGACTTGTACTTTCCGTAAAAGTTCCATGGCACATGTCCAACCTGATCTATTGACAGAATGATTTTCACATTTGTAGTTCATATGTATCAATGGTCATCTGTAGTGTCCATTGTGATCCAATAGGCTAAATTAACACCCCCATATTCTAATACATTGACAATTAATGACCCATGTCAAATGGCGGCCAGAGAAATGTTTATATAAAACAGACTGGCCAATGACATCGTACACATTTTTCCAATTGTACCAATTGTCAACCAAATGTGAAGTTAATGTCGTATGTTCCTCCAGAAAGAAAAGAGACCCGAAATCGTTCAATATCCTACTTTACCACCCGTTATATTCTCCTTGAGGAAGCCGACAACTACGCATGCGTGACAGGTCGCCATTCGGCTACCCTTCACCGGATAGAGGGCGCGCCAACATGTCGCCATTACTAACTTTATTCTCCTTCTAACGATCGCTAGGGTCCAGTTGGGGGTTTGCGCTGATTCTTCATGCCTGTCTGTTTTGTCTGATAATAACTGTCAATGGATCGAGGCGATAGAGAGCTGGCTATGGCCATTGAATTTTCCAACTGGTTGATTAAACCAATCGCAAGTTGCCGTCTAGGAGGCGAATTAATTATACATATCATATCTCGGCCGGTGAAGAGATCTGTTTCTTCTTGATGTTTTGTTTACGGAGTATAAACGACCTGCGGTAAACATTCCAACTGATTAAGAACGTGTAAAGTTGGAATATGACCAGATTATTTTCTTTTGCTGAGTACCAACTTCGATGAGGTTTTCTCTGGCCCAGAGAACATCTGCTATTTGGCGACTCGCTTCGATAAATGCAACAATACTCCTTTAATTGTTTAACGAGGCCCAATGAGGGTTTCTGCTGTAAATGGGACATAAATATGAAAGGCTGCAGTCGAAAAGCGATAAATAGAAATGGGTTCTTCGATAGTTATATCCACGTGCAAACTCCCGACCTTCTGTTGGCCAAATAGTGGCTATTTTTTGTGTGTTTGATACACGTTTTTGTCGTCGCGGTGACAGATAATGTTAAAAGTTAACAGTCACTGACGATGCTATGCCGACGATGTGGTGTTGCTGTGGGCGTATTGTGAAACGTTGCCGTATACTAGCAGTAGGTGACAAATCGATGGTTGATCAATAATGCAGTGTAGCTGTTGGTCATGATCGAAAACTATCGATCTTTCATCCCTTTCATCCAACAACGAACTTTTATAAAGTTGCAATAAAGAAGTTGTCTACTTAAACAGTGTTCCTCTTCATCATACCAGCTTCTTCATCATACCAGCTTCTTCATCAGTTATGTTTTCTGGGAATTCTTACAGCAGATGATGCTTGTCATTAGTTTTTTATGTTTTAAACATATTTTATTCAAAAATGAAATTGATTAATGGTTATCCAACTTAGGGACGCCCTCTCCCAGAAGTTACATATTTCATATTTACAATATAAAAACACTGAAAACAGTGATTTGTTGAGTGAACTAACACGATCTTTAAAGATGATGTGTATAATATAAACAAGAATAAAACTACAAAAAATCTTTCAGTGAGCTTAATATATCTGTACATGTTCAAATAATAATTCATTTTCATATAGTGATAGTGTAACATGACCAAATAACATTAAATCTAGATTAATAGGTATGCGATGCTTAACGACAGCATTTACATTTACAAACAAGATATTTACTCTGCTTTGTATACAAAGAACATTCTAAAAGATAATGCCATGAATTTTCACAATTACAACCACTAGTACAAGACGTATCTGATCTTAAATTAATTCTTAATAAATCGTAATAAAGCGAACTTGTATTGTATCTCAGGTTTGTGTGAATAATGTTAAGTTTTCTTGTACCAGACCAAAACAATGACGGGGCTGCATTTATTGTACTTTGAATTTTCAATTTAAAACCTGCTAAAGAGTAAAGAGTCTATGTTTTTTTATATCCGGTTCCCAAGTATATAATTTCTTTTATGAAACCTACCCGGCAAATGATGAGAAGCAATCCTTTATACTATATTGTCGGGAAAACCTGATGTCATTCCTGATGTCATAGTGTCACATTCACATAAGGTTCATCTCTTGTGTGGCTTTCACGCCCCAAGGATTCGGTTTCAACAGATGATCGAGGCTGATCATTCCATACCGCCGACGATTTCAATGTGGCAATTAATTTGCAATAAAGAGACTTCATGTCGGGATCTACCAATAACATATATAATGCCTTGGCTTCCCAAATGATCGAGGCAACCTTGCCGCCAAATAAACATGTCTGAAGCACCAGATTGCAGTCTGGCTGTCAGCACGTCTTGTATATCATAATGTATATTGAATTGAAATAATTCTCTAAACTTATTGTGAGAAGCTGTGAGATTTCCGAAATGTCGTGCGCGTTTTAAAATCCAAACGAAACGATATTTCAGCCTCGCCCTCAATTATCAATTATGTATTTTTAAACGTTTGAGACACTGAGAACCTGGGTGCATGTTTAATGTTCGCTTACCATTGATACTTCAACTTAGGAACTCTCGCTTTTTAGAAGCGGTTAAATAGGCGGCACATGGTACGTCTATTTCAGTGTAATTTGATCGTCTTTCATTAAACATGGACCACTCCCGTGGCGGTGGCTACGTCACATTCACAATCATATATTAAAGATTACAAGCCCCTTCTGAACCACGTTCATCGAGGATACACCTATGGGTGGGAGAAGTGCGAATGCAAAATGATACCGTTACTTAATGGTAAAAGTGTGATGATCGGGTTAGAACCGGACTTCAGCAACCAATGCTTGTAAGACTATAACGGGATCGGGTGGACAGTCTTGCTGACTCTGGTGACACATGTGATGGAATCCCAATTCCGTAGATCGATGCTCATGATTTCCATCACTGGATTGTCTGGTCCAGATTCGATCATTAACACACTCTCGTCATGTTCATTGAATATGTTTCAATGAACAGTTAACAACGAACAAACAAAACTAAACAAACACACAATGGAGAGGTAGACCCAATGAGATATGACGAACCTCGGTGGATAGACAGAAGGGCATTGCAGGTATTGTGTAAAACCTCACTCACTCACTTTAGAGAAAAAAAATGCTCATGATTGGTGCATGCAATCAGAAACATTCAGTGTTGTTACAGTACTCGAAAACACTAAGTTGTCTCCCTTAGCCATGAGAATCCGCTGACAACAGGTTTGAATCCCAGAATGAGCGTTGATCTTTCAGCGTCCGTGCTGTTTGTATTTATCAACGTCTACAAGTTGCATCGCCCTGAACCCCTCTCAAAACATTACACTGACACAAATAACACACTTCACAAAGCGAACCTCACTCACTCACTCACTCACTCACTAAACATAAAAGGCGAGTAACAGGTTCAGGTTGTCAGGCACGTTGACTTGGCTGACACATGTCATCGTATCGCAAATGCGTAGATCGATACTCATGATGTTGATCACTGGATTGTCAGGTCCAGATTCGATTAATTTACCGCAGCAATACAGCTGGAATGTTGCTGAGTGCGGCGTTAAACAACAAACAAATAAGCAAACAGACAAAAAATATCGCTTAAGTATGTTTATAAGTACATCTCTTCAGTGTATCATACCTTGGCCCGCGGGTTTCACTGAAGTAGAAAACACAAACAGTTGACAGATATCAGAGTGAAATATAATAAGAAAGTGCACAGAGCCTCTATTCTTTGTAACAAACCGCAGTGATCTAAACTTGCAGACTATTAGTGACTTGCAGTGACTGGGTTCTCTACGACAGACAAGCTGGCAGGCCTGAAATAGGAAACCGCAGTGATTTCAACTCGCAGACTATCAGTGACTTGCAGTGACTGGGTTCTCTACGGCAGACAAGCTGGCAGGCCTGAAATAGGAAACCGCAGTGATCTCAACTCGCAGACTATTAGTGACTTGCAGTGACTGGGTTCTCTACGGCAGACAAGCTGGCAGGCGTGAAATAGGAAACCGCAGTGATCTCAACTTGCAGACTATCTGTGACTTGCAGTGACTGGGTTCTCTACGGCAGACAAGCTGGCAGGCCTGAAATGAAAACCGCAGTGATCTCAACTCGCAGACTATTAGTGACTTGCAGTGACTGGGTTCTCTACGGCAGACAAGCTGGCAGGCCTGAAAAACAGCGGCGCTAAACCCACCTCACTACCTCAAATGTACTTCATCCGTTATTACGGTTACAGATAGTCACTAAATCAATATCAGAACAAATATCATAAACTGAACCCGACTTACGGCATGGCGAGCCAACACCTCATCCACTGGACCACCTCGCCGTACTGTAAGTCAAGTTAATATGAAAATGTTTATCGGAAACAAACCCAAAAAGAATCTTCGAAAACTTTTAAAGAAATCGTAATTTTCCATACGATTATCCACCGTATTTTAAAGATTTATAAAGTCAGTGAGTGAGTGAGCGAGTTTGGGTTAACGCCGCTTTGTACAGTGTTTCAGTTATATCACAGCGTGTCAACTTGATGAGGGATGAAAACCCCGAGTAATGCAAGTCTCAGACGGTTACCACTTGCTTGAGTACAGGTGTGGTGCTACAAAAGTAGAAACATATTCGAGCTGAAACCATAGGTTCCTGGTGCACCAAAGGGAGGCAACTCAGCAAATAGGCATGTAGACGATTGGAAAGCATAAATACGTTAAACTTTACAGTTTCCAACCTTGCTCTGTTTGCAACCACGTCTGTCTGTTATCAGTTTTCACTATGGCTGTAACGATGCATCGAACTATCGATGGATTGTAATTGTTGAGTCTCCGACAGCAAGTAATCGATGGTAGAAAGGAAAAATTATCGATACATGTGTGACTATGGATAGTTTAGTAACTGATCAATACTAAATGAACAGCTCAAAATACAGGAAGTACCAGATTCGTTCACTTTGATTTAGAGTTATACGCCCGTTACCTCTTAAACAAACTTGATCTGGGTTTCAAGGTCCTTGTCAGTTATTAAAAGTGACTGAAACTACTTCAGCTTGTTTTATTTCATATAGACTATGCATTCATTTGGGAAATGACTTCAAATGAGACAATTCAAGGAGAATAGCGATAGTTGGTCGCAATAGACTATCTCTATCCCAATAGCTGTTTCTCCATCAATTGTCACCTCTAGTTTTCACAACCTAACTGGGAAGATGTAGACTGACTGACTGACTGAGTATGGTTTTACGCCGCTTTTAGCAATATTCCAGCAACATCACGGCAGGGGGCACCAGAAATGGGCTTCACACATTGTACCCATGTGGGGATTCGAACCCGGGTCTTCGGCGTGACAAGCCAACGCTTTAACCACTAGGGTACCCCACCGCCCCGGGAAGATGTAGAGCGGAGATGTGTCAACAAACAATAAAGATATTGTCCATATTTTAAATATTATTCACTTGTTATGAAACTTGTCAATAACCTATAAAAGATTTGTGGTGTTGAAACGCGGATAAGATGAAAGTACACATCCATGATTGGTGCTTGCTGAGTAGCGTCCCTTTGGTACACCAGGAACCTGTATCATTCTTGTGACATTTTGTTCTCAGTGTTACGGCGACTGTATTTAGACTGGTGCCGTTTTGCTAACGTTACGATTTTCATAATTGTTTCGGAAATCAAATTTCAAATGCATACCTTTTATGCCTGACTGTTTAATATTTAGTATTTTAGTGTTTATTTTTATGCAATTGCCAGTGCAAATATCAGCTATCGTAAGGTCGATGTTAGACATACTCTACGTGTGTACACAGGTGACTTCTCCATGTCAATATCAGTGTACAGTCTTGTGATGTCTCGAGGGGTGTCCATGCACATGTTGATAACAGTGACACAATTATCTCTGGGCGTTGTGCTTGTTGTGATAAGACAACAGTTTGACCGACAGGTGTCAATTACAGGTGTGTACATTACATGTATATTTCACTGTTACGTTATGACTCTGACGTAGGCTTGGAAATAACGGGGGATCTTTAAGTTGTTGATTCCAACGCTGTGACCTGTCGATCACAATAAGCTACAGCCAAACACCGCTGGGTCGAAGCTGAAGGGACCTGTATAATACCTCCAGTTATTCGAGGTTCGACATAGGCGAATTTTATGGACCAAAGGAGCAAGCAGGGTTTAATCTTTTCTTTGAGACAACCATTACTTCGACACATCGAACTTCGACACAAGGGTGTTTGACTGAATATATGACCGAATGGCGAATACGAATGTCCAGAGAGAGGGAACGTGTTCTTCTTTGAGTGAGTGAGTGAGTGAGTTTAGTTTTACGCCGCACACAGCAATATTCCAGCTATATGGCGGCGGTCTGTAAATAATCTTCAAGTCTGGACCAGACAATCCAGTGATCAACAGCATGAGCATCGATCTGCGCTGTTCTTCTTTGAAATTCCCGGTCAAGGTCAACGAGAATTGGTTACTTATGTGTCATTACAAGTTATCACGTGAATAGTTTGCTCATGCCACAGTTCGTCGCCATTGTAATGTTTCGTCCTAATCGATACATCAGGAGATTCAGAGTTTGAGTGAACGTCGATTTACGCCGGATCTATCGAGATAGTTGAGTTTTAGTCAACGTCGTTTTACGACCTATCGAGATATCCGGGTATTTGTACAATATATCAATATATATCGAAGAAAGTATCGCAACACCCCCTGTTTTTTCATAGTACAGATATGTTACCATAGCAACGAAACTTATCCAAACTACAACTGAAGTTACTATCTGGATAAACTGACCCTCCAGGAATAATTAGAAAGAACGAAAATCTGTAGTTTATACAGAGACGCAAACATGGCAATATAACTGATTTTGTAGTGCTGATAACCTTGGTCGTATGACGTTAAAAAGTGCCGCCATTTTCAAGATTCTTGCATATAATCTTCAAGAATTCAAATAGTTATGAATACCCGAGCAAAATGTCAATATCAGGTGTAACCTCCGTCAACTGCAATAGGTGAGGTGAGGTGAAATTGGGTTTAACATCGTGCTTGAGAATATTTCGCTCATATGACGACGTGGATGCGTGTGTATGTGTATGTGCGGCTGCTTGTACTAGCCCAGACTTAAACTGGTTTTATAGTGCTAGCCCACTGAGATACCATGCCGCAGTGAAGCATGAATACCCCACTCAGACACATTATACTGACTCCGAGCCGACCAGTCCTTGATGTACCCATTAATGCCGAGCGCCAGGCAGGGACCAACAAGTACCATATTTTAACGTCTTTTGGTATGACGCGGCCGGGGATCGAACCCGCGGCCTTCCGCTCTCCGGGCGGACGCTCTAACCACTACACCACGGAGGCGGTCCTCAACTGCAATAGCAAACCTCAACTCTCCTTGTCTGTATCTGATTGCATTTTACCGTTGAAGTATTGATTGCATTCATGATGGGTCTTGTTCCAATGCATCAAGACTTTGGACGGGGTCATCTCTCTGAAATATTCTGAGACCCATGTCAAAACCAAGCTCTATGAGGCTGACCAAGATAGAGTTGCTTCCGCCTCTTGACCTACTAGGGGCGGTGGGGTAGCCTAGTGGTTAAACCGTTCGCTCGTCACGCCGAAGACCCGGGTTCGATTCCCCACATGGGTACAATGTGTGAAGCCCCTTTCTGGTGTCCCCCGCTATCATATTGCTGAAATATTGCTAAAAGCGGCGTAAAAAGTAACTCACTCATTCCTGACCTAGGAAATCAACAACGATACGTGCCTAGCATCGTCGCCCATGAAGTGTCGTATTCAGGTGATGGTCATCGGAATGTGGTACAACCACCCCGTCAGGGATGATCGCCACAAGGTCAAGTGTACCGTCATGTGGACACCCAAACGCCATTTATGTTAGAGGCGAAGAAAACGCCGAAACAGTTCCTACATATTGACAGCCACATGTTACCTAATCTGTTATACACAGGAGGAGATTGTACCCTTGGGTTAAAGGCGGTATTCATCGGTCAAGGAGGGTCCAGCTGGGTGGTCAGTGTGGTCAATATTACACTGGAAGGCCGTTTCCCACCAACAGGTGGTGTACATTACCGTCGTCCAAAAGCTCCTCAATCACCTTATGTCATTCTATCATTTCATTTGGGAGAATCAGTTTTATCAATTCTATAAAATGAAAGTCGGCCTTATGGTGTAAATGGTTACCATAGATACAACTCACTTGGTTTATATGTTTGGTTGTTTGTTTGTTCTTTCGTTATCTGTCTGTCCATCTATCTATCTATCTATCTATCTATCTATCTATCTATCTATCTATCTATCTATCTATCTATCTATCTATCTCTCTCTCTCTCTCTATCTATCTATCTATCTATCTATCTATCTATCTATCTATCTTTCTATCTATCTTCTCTATCTATCTATCTATCTATCTATCTATCTATCTATCTATCTATCTATCTATCTATCTATCTATCTATCTTATCTATCTATCTATCTATCTATCTATCTATCTATCTATCTATTCGTCCATCCATCCATCCATTCATTCAATTATTCATTCATTCATTCATTCATTTATATTTTTAATCAATTTTAAAAAAGAAATCAGGGGAAAAAACTCGGGTTGAACAAGTCAGTACTTGAGGTAGCTAGTTGTGCATAAGTGATTATTATGGCCTCGAAACAGGTGACAAACGAAAAGGATTGCGTAATATGCCTGTCAAGTAGGCTCCCCGCAAAGACAGGATGTTCCTTCGGGTCGTTTTGGACTTAATCCGTCACTCCCTATTAGTGGATTATAGCACAACGATCAACAATAAAATCTATGATAGCCACACAAGGAGGTGGACGCTTAAGTAGATCTGTAGTGACCAGTGACCATCCGCCCAACTGGCAAGTGAACGGCTGAACAAAACATCTTGCTGGGCATTGATCCTTTTCCGTATCAAGTCTGATTTTATGGACAACCAGCCTCATCGCTTGAGTGTGTTTATAGCTTTCGATTGTTGTGCCTTTCAACGACAATATTTTGCAGATTGAGTCTCGCTATTGTTCGTTTCAGATACAATTCTGTTTTCAATGACACCTTTTCAAATGTTCTTTGTAGTTCAGCGTCGTTGGGCGGGGCGCGTGTGTTCATTAAATTCTCCTAAATTGTAATTTCTTAATCTGTAGCGATGCATGTTATCAATGTTTGACATCTTTCATCAATTTTCGTGTAGTAAGGGCTGTGGTTTTCAAGTATTTACGACATATAGTTTACAATTTAGGCGGAATTCATTGCGTGGCGGATTTTTATTGCTTAATGATACACTGCTGGTTACGAATGATGAAAGGCTTTGGGCGTAGAGACGGTTTACGCAACACTAAGCCCCATTTCTAAAACGAATCACAGACATGGAATAAAACATACATAAAATTTATTCAATTCGTCCTTTAATACTTGTAGATCAATGAATATGCTAACTTTTCATACGATTGGCAATTTTTTCATTAATAAGAATACTGGGTATTATGAGCGCTCATTTTTGTCAACATAAAATATAAGATGACATATTAGTGTCAGCTGTTTTATCCTCTCCGTGTAATGGACACTCGTTATAATGGATGTAAGTGTTGTGGATTGCGAAAGCGGACTTGTTTTTATTTGTAGGTATCTGCGATTTAGGGTAAGTTTATATTTCTACAAAATGACTTCGTGTATCTGGTTGACTGCATAATAGTCAAACATTAACGGAAAAAACTGGACTGGTGAATACTGCAAAACCTCCTTAATATGGACGCATTAATCCAGACATCCCGGCGATTACAGTTTGGAAAGTGTTTACATCCGGGTTAGAATTGATCTTCAGTAATCCATGCTTGTCGTAAGAGGCGACTGACTTGGTTGACACATGTCATCCTATCCCATCTGCATAGATCGATGCTCATGCTGTTGATCACTGGAGTGTCTGAACCAGACTCGATTATTTCCAGACCGCCGCCATATAGCTGGAGTTTTGCTGAGAGTGACGTGAAATAACAACAAACAAACAAACGAACGAACGAACGAACGAACGAACGAACGAACGAACGAACGAACGAACGAACACCCTCATGTTCGTGATTCGTTAATTCGGTCGGCTGTTTATCCGGTCAATATTATCAGCACTACCTTCCATTGATTAAGATGGGTACAAATCATGACATCCCCCACACAACTTTGTAAATAGTGGCGTTCCAATTAATTGAAATAATTGAAGATTGGTCGCAGTGATCAAACGACAAAGCGATTGATCACATTTTCTCATTATCGAACACAAACGATTTTGGAACTACCGTTTTGGTGTTTTAAACACTTGACGAAGGGACCGCTTCCGTGGTGTAGTGGTTAGCGCGTCCGCCCGGAGAGCGGAAGGTCGCGGGTTCGATCCCCGACCGCGTCATACCAAAGGACGTTAATATATGGTACTTGTTGGTCCCTGCCTGGCACTCGGCATTAATGGGTACAACAAGGACTGGTCGGCTCGGAATCAGTATAATGTGTCTGAGTGGGGTATTTCTGCTTCACTGCGGCATGGTATCTCAGTGGGCTAGCACTATAAAACCAGCTTCAGTCTGGGCTAGTACAAGCAGCCGCACATACACATACACACGCATGCACGTCGTCATATGAGCGAAATATTCTCAAGCACGACGTTAAACCCAATTTCACCTCACCTCACTTGACGAAGGAGATATCTTAGAATTTGTCAGGGCCTGAAAACGTGTCTAACTCTTAGAAACTCACTTCATTTACTGAAAAGTCATGACTGAATATTTCTTGAAGACTCCAGAAAGTGTCTGTTCATGATATATTAGTCATCTCTTTAAACTAGCATGTTGCAACATTTTAAATTGGATGTGAAATTTGCACAAGCAATTTGCGGAGTTTCTAAATAAACAAAAAATAACAGAGAACCATGATATACTTATCTGCAATAACACCTGAATAGGCAAATCTGAGAAATGACGCAGTTCGATGATTGTTCGCTGGTAATGAACACATTATCAATTGTGAGATTGCAACCAATTCCCAACATTAATATCTATGGCGGTTTGACGTACACAATGTCTGCTTTATGAGACCGCCTCCGTGGTGCGGTAGTTACAGCGTCCGCCCGGGCAAAGGTCGCGGGTTCGATCCTCGACCGCGTCATATCAAAAGACGTTAAAATATGGTACTTGCTGTTCCCTGCCTGGCGCTCGGCATTAATGGGTACAACAAGGACTGGTCGGCTCGGAGTCAGTATAATGTGTCTGAGTGGGGTATTTCTGCTTCACTGCGGCATGGTATCTCAGTGAGCTAGCACTATAAAACCAGCTTAAGTCTAGGCTGCTATAATTTGTTAATTATTTACATCAAACATGACTAGTATAGTGTGTTAATTATTTTCGACATCAAACATGACTGTTATAGTTTGTTAATTATTTACATCAAACATGATTGCTAAAGTGTGTTAATTATTTTCGACATCAAACATGACTGCAATAGTTTGTTGATTATTTACGAAATCAAATATGACGAAATCAACCATGCAATATATTTTGTTGATTATTTACGAAATCAACCATGACAGCAATATTTTGTTGATTATTTACGACATCAACCATGTTTGTTGATTATTTACGACAGCAATAGTTTGTTGATTATTTACGACATCAAACATGACTGCAATAGTTTGTTGATTATTTACGACATCAACCATGACAGCAATAGTTTGTTGATTATTTACGACATCAACCATGACAGCAATATTTTGTTGATTATTTACGACATCAACCATGACAGCAATTGTTTGTTGATTATTTACGACATCAACCATGACAGCAATATTTTGTTGATTATTTACGACAATGACAGCAATTGTTTGTTGATTATTTACGACATCAACCATGACAGCAATAGTTTGTTGATTATTTACGACATCAAACATGACTGCAATTGTTTGTTGATTATTTACGACATCAAACATGACAGCAATATTTTGTTGATTATTTACGACATCAAACATGACTGCAATTGTTTGTTGATTATTAACGACATCAAACATGACAGCAATATTTTGTTGATTATTTACGACATCAAACATGACAGCAATTGTTTGTTGATTATTAACGACATCAAACATGACAGCAATATTTTGTTGACTATTTGCGACATCAAACATGACTGCAATTGTTTGTTGATTATTAACGACATCAAACATGACAGCAATATTTTGTTGATTATTTACGACATCAAACATGACAGCAATATTTTGTTGATTATTTACGACATCAACCATGACAGCAATATTTTGTTGATTATTTACGACATCAACCATGACAGCAATAGTTTTGTTGATTATTTACGACATCAAACATGACTGCAATAGTTTGTTGATTATTTACGACATCAAACATGACTGCAATATTTTGTTGATTATTTACGACATCAAACATGACTGCAATAGTTAGTTGATTCTTTATTCGCATCGGGTGACCCGGACATGTAACTTTAAGGCACGCCCGCCTGATTTAATGAATTCTTGAAGTAATGCATTCAATGTTTGAGAAAAATGGAGAAGTTGAGTGGTTTTCTGGGTGTGACTGTTTCATATGCATGAGTGGGGCTGCACGTTTTCCCATGTCACACATCATAGCAAGACATTTTCGTTTTAACCTTTTGAGAAAGATGAATAGTTTTCAAAAGGAGGTCGGATGTTATTTCCTTGATAAATAAAACATACTGATGGAAGATGGTTGATTTTCTGCTGTGTCATAACACACGGACGTGGTAAGAATGGGTATCCGTGTTTATTTTTACGCAATGTTAAAATGGGTGAGTAAGTCAGGTTAGTTTTACTCCGCGTTTAGCAGTATTCCAGTAATATCAAGGAGGAGAACCCCAGAGATGGGCTTCACATATTGTAACCTTGTAGGGAATCGAACCTGGGTCTTCGATGTGACGAGCGAACGCTATAACCACTAGGCTACCCCACCGCCCCCGTACTATTAAAAATGTAGGGGATCCTGACTGAAATATATAGGTTGAAGGAGACATACCGTTTTTTGAGCGAATACATGCTCTTAAACAAGAGGAGCGGCTGTGTAGCCTTGTGTTTAAAGCGTTCGCTCGTCACGCCGAAATCCCGGGTTCGATTCCTCACATGGGTACAATGTCTGAAGCCCATTTCACCGGCTCCCTCAAATCGCCACTGGGAAATCAGTTGCATGCCTCGTGGAGTCAGTGGATGACAGATCCGCCGCAACTCTATGTACAGAATATCCTCCGTTGGTCATACCAGGAAACGTACTTGATTCGAATCTAAGATTTGAATTGACTAAGACATGCAGGTTTGTGAGCACCATTCAGTTGCTCATAGGTTTAAAACATGTAAATGTGAAAAGTCTGTATCACTACGGGCTTTCCCCCGCATCAATGTGATATGCTTGGATATGAAGTAATAATGGAAGCGGCGTTGAACTCACTCACTCACTCACTTGTTATTAGATACGTGAAGCATGAAGCAACGCCACCTTGAAACATACACCCCCGCCTCACCACCACCCCGACCCAACCACCCACCCTACCCGACACACTCGGGATTTCAGGTTAGAGATTGGACCCAGCACCCAGTGCTGAGATGCAAGATGTGCGTTAATGCAATGAGCGTTCAGCCTCGGTTACAAGCATGGTGACGTGTCATCGCTCCCCTTCGACATGGACGTCTTCTCCACCATACTGATCACAGGATTATCTGGTCCAGATTCGATTATTTACAGGCCAGGGTAACGCAACTAGAATATTGCTACGTGAGGCGTTAAACAACATTCAAATGAACAACGAATTGGAATCTGTCCAGAATAAAATGATTCTGGTTAAACAGGGTTCGTATCAGCGGGTTGTTGGTAAATGGAGGTTGTACCGTGAGTGAGTGAGTTTTGGTTTTAGCCCTTTTTCCAATATTCCATATACATGTATCACGGCAGGGGACACCAGAAATGGGCTTCACATATTGTACCCATGTGGGCAATCGAACCCGGATCTTCGGCGTGACGAGCAAACGCTTCAACCACTAGGCTACCCCACCGCCCTTAGGTAGTAAAGGCTGCGAGAAACATCTCTTACCCATCCGTGTTATTTCATCAGAACTTGTTGAATAGTTTGTAGACAGGCGGGCTGACAGACAACCGGAATACATTCCAAACAGAATCCTCCTTTAGGTCTCTAGTACGAGGTATGTGCAACATATATACAGGATTAGGTGATTAGGTGTCGGACTCTGAGAGTATGGGTTCGAATCCCACGGGGGACTAAACCCAAATAAGTCCTTCAATCTGTACTTTACTGAGAAAGTGCAATCCCAAATATAACATTTGTTACATTTGACCACTTTCTAAATGGTATTGTCTGTCCTTAAGTGCAAAGGTTCAGTGATCGGTATTCGTTGTAACTGCATCAGATGTGAGAAAGAGTCTGATGAATGTAACCCTCAATGTTGGAGCTATTCACAGCCAGAGAGAGACTTTATTGAGAGAGAGGACCGAATAAAGGGCATCAAATCCAGCTCATACAATTCACACCAAAAAACAGCATTCCTGTGATAAGCTACGAATCTACAGCAACAAACCTGGGATGCAAGGCTCAACATGATTTGCTTACCGGGAAACCACGAGATCTCGCGAGAATGTCAAATAGAGTTCAAAGACCGCGCGAAAACGCACGAGATAGATGGGAAGTTAAGGTGACCTGTGGTCAACTTCGCTTCTCCATTGACAGTAATTGTTCATTTCATCTACAAGTGCCGCACGTTGTCAGGTAGCTTCCCAAAGCTAACCCTTGTCACAGATCCGCCATTTTCGGGCTTGATAAACAAATTAACTGACAATTCAACCAGCTTGGTAACGCATTGGGTGGGAAGAATTGCGTTGATAGAGCTAGTTATCTCGGTACACTTGAAATAAAAGATAACTTACAGAAAGGTACGTGTCACGGGGAGAGTACACGTTTAAACCTCACTCGACTGCTCGGATAGATGTTTGTTTCTTTGTTTCTTGGTTAATCCAGCAATCACAGTGAGTGAGTTTAGTTTTACGCCACTTTTAGCAATATTCCAACAATATCTCGGCGGGGGACACTAGAAATGGGTTTCACACATTGTACCCATGTATGGAATCGATACTGGGCTTTTTGATGTGACGAGCGAACGCTCTAACCACTAGGCTACCCCACTGCCCCTGCAATCAGAAATTTTCCAGTTATACTACGGCGGCATGGTATAAACCATGTGATTGATATAATGAGCATCAATCTACGCCGTCGAGGTCCAATCAACCACGTCACACCACGCTAGTGGGTGAGTGAGTGAGTGAGTGAGTGAGGACGCAAGTTGTGGACAAATTCCGGCAGTACCATAGCCAGACATACAACAAAATGCTTGACATAGATACCGTGTGGGGAATCGAACCCAGGACGCATTTACCACTAGGCTAACCAACCGTTCCATTGGTTGTCGACGACCAATCATAAATGAGCGATGGTTCGAACATGTACCTACATAATAATTGATGACAAGCCCTGAAATAGCAGAACGGGTGTTAAATCTGGACCATATGGTGAGTTTTGTCTGGTGTCGCTTTGTGGTGTCTACCTGTTATAAACTCACATAGATTACCGGTAAATACAACCTATTGTCAGCATCCAATCTTAAGGGCGACTTCTGGATGGGTGGTCAGGCTAACTTACTTGCTCTATACATGTCAGTGTGATAATGGCTATTTATAAAGTGCCTGTTTGCACGCACTGGTGCATGCTGAAAGCGCTAATATATTATTACCCCGAATAACCCAAACTGCCTGTGGGGCGCTAGAAGGTTAACAGTCATATGACATATCCCACCGGGTACCCATTTACTGCTGAGTGAACAGAGGCAATTTATGAACAAACTCACTCGCCTAGGGTGAGACCACATGTGTCACGTGTGCTTCGTTGTGTGGCAGGACTGAAGTCCTAGAAACTCTCAGGAGTCAAGTTGACAAACGATGTCACCCGCCCGGAATGTAGGGACCAACGTAGCATAACATCAACTGATTTGTGACCAGGGCCCACTTGTACAAAGCGATCTTAGCGTTATGACTATCTTAAGCCTATGTTGGAGAATGGGACTTACAATCATTGTAGCGCTAAGATCGCTTTGTGCAAGTGGGCCCAGGGCTCTGTGCACAGGACCACACACCGCCCTTGATGTGAATCACTGGTCTGTCAGGTCCAGAAGCAATATTTACGGACCACAGTCATCATATGATTAGAATATTGTGGCGTTAAATAACAAACAAACAATCTAACACAAAAGGGTCCCAGTTCTAATAGGACCGCCTCCGTGGTGTAGTGGTTAGAGCGTCAGCCCGGAGAGCGGAAGGTCGCGGGTTCGATCCCCGGCCGCGTCATATCAAAAGACGTTAAAATATGGTACTTGTTGGTCCCTGCCTGGCGCTCGGCATTAATGGGTACAACAAGGACTGGTCGGCTCGGAGTCAGTATAATGTGTCTGAGTTGGGTATTCATGCTTCACTGCGGCATGGTATCTCAGTGGGCTAGCACTATAAAACAAGCTTCAGTCTGGGCTAGTACAAGCAGCCGCACATACACATACACAAGCATGCACGTCGTCATATGAGCGAAATATTCTCAAGCACGACGTTAAACCCAATTCCACCACCACCCAGTGCCAATATGGCTAGAAAGTGTGAAGTCAACTTCAACTGTTGTCTGAAGTGCCAGAAAGTTGCTAAACTGATACACAGCATTAACCACACATGACCTCTAGAACAATTCTCATTATAAGAAGTGACCTAAGAAACGACACATAACGTACCTTACTTCCAAATCCGTTATATCAGGAGTCTAATGTCTGGCAAACGTACTAAAATAACGGACACTTTGTTTCGGAAACCTTTGAACTATAATAGTTAAACGGAATTTGAAGCAGTTCCACTGAAAACAATGTCGGAACTAAAATGATTATCATGTTAATGTGCATATCTTTATTGATCGGGAGGGTGTTGGGCTATTTATCTAAGCGTCTGGTTTGATATTAACACCATTACTTGTCTCGCTCCGCTACACCCAAAGCCTGTTTTTTCAGTGTGTCATTAAGTCACAGGTTAATTATGAATGTTAATCATCACTGCCGTTGATGACATCTAATTCTTGAGTCACGCAATTACAAATCTGTTCTTAATCACCGCTGACTCAAAATTACGTAGCCACAATTTTAAAGTAATTTTACGAAGAAATTCGACGTTGTTCGTTAGCGACACGTAAATCACTAGAAACCAACAGCCATATCTGACAAACTTGCTTTACCGGGGAGGCCAATTCTAGAGTTTCACCGCGTTCTTAAACCCCTGTCTCATGTCGTCTCTGAACTAATGAGGCGTGAAGGAAAATGGACCCTCGGTGTCAAAAAGTGCTATTAATTTCATGAGATCGTCCCGATTCTGATGGCCACACTTAGCGGGTAAATTAAGGCTCTTTCAAACCCCCCTGCTCCCCTGCCCTACTACTGTCATTGCCCCGACCCCACCAATATTCATATGACCCGGGAAGAACCCGGGTGACCTATTATTCATAACTTAGGCCATCTGTGCTTTGATGTTGCCGAATAAATCACATCTTTCCCGTCGGCTCCGGGTCTTGACAGATCCTTTAGGAGCTGTAAATCAGAACGGTGCAAGACCTGGTCTCGAAACTCGACCCCCGAACCGATAAAAGAATCAATTTTACCTGTAGAACGACTCATTCCTCGCCACGGGCGAGAAATTGGCCAGATTTACTTTCAGACTGTCCGGCTCTAACGTCAACCATTCTGGCAAATCACCGATTACTGTAATTAACATATCTCTGACATTGTTTACACGTGGAGATATATCGCTTACCTTTTATTAGATTAATAGAGGAATTTAGATAGATCGGTGATAAAAGTAGTCTATAGAGTGTCGGGGAACACACTCTGCTTGTTAAGTTGTTCTCACGGGTGTGAAAGTCGCCTGGCAGAGTGATGTGAACGAGAGACGATGTTCGACGGACCGACGTCCATTTCCAGTTTATTTCTTGTTCATTTCTAATCCATTACTACTATATTTCTTGTTCATTTCGCTTGCATTTCTTGTCGATTTCCAGTTGATTGCTAGTCCATTTCTCTTGCATTTCTTGTTCAGTTGTAATTAATTTCCAGGACATTTCTAGTGGATTTCATGTTCGTTTCTGGTTCATTTCTAGTCCTTATCTTGTAAATTTCTAGTCAATTTCTTGTTCATTTCCAGTCAATTTCATTTTCATTTTAGTCAATTTCCAGGTGATTTATTGTCAGATTCTACTTTCTAGGCTCATTTCAAGTCGACCTCGTATTCAATTCTAGCCCATTTCGGGATTTTTTATGATTTCAGCCAAGTGACGTTTTAATAATAATTTGTTATTATTTAGTCAGATCCAGTTTTCAATAGTATACGTTTTTTGCCTATCGGTAGGATATTAAATGAAACAACTGAATAACGTATATCGTTGTATTTTTGTTGTTGAAAAAATAACAAAATAAGTGTAGCAACAAATTCTGTCTTTAAGAGAATCCATTTTATGTTTGGTTTCAATTCCATAAACAAGTGCCATGGTTAGAGACTGGCCTTGACAAACTACCAATATTTTCAAATGATTGGCACCGATATTTCTGTAAAATCAACATTAATTTATAACAGTATCACTAGAAAGATGACAAAATTAGCCTCAGCTAAACCAATTACAATTTATTTTCTATACCTTTAAATATACTTCCTTTCAAAAGTTTAGACTCACTAGTGTAAATATAGCCACTTACTTCAGGAAACTGTTCGAAACTAAATTTTGCAAAATAATTCCATACTGTTTAAAGGTACTGTTTACACATGAACTGATGTATAGTAAAACAAATTCGTGACGTTGAAAAGATTATTGTCATGAGTTCAATAAAAATCAGTGAAAATTGACGAATTCTTAACAAAACTTTACACCAAAATGCAGCTATTCATATGCACGATATTTGCACGTGCTTCGCAGCAATTTGATGCGTGATCCTAGTGCAATTCATCTGCATAATGTTTGCAGTTGGTTCCCCCAAGCTAGAGGAGAAATCAATCTTCAATGTAACCATATATATATACATAACATATAGTGAGTGTTTTGACATGAAGTATTTATTGAATAGTCTCTCAAGATTTAAAATATGGATTCATATTGAATTGTAAATATTTCAATATTTTTTATGCCTCTGTTAATCTTTCCTTTTATCTTTTAAATTTAAGATGGGAAAACGTATTCTCGTAGTATTGTATATCGATAGTGTGTGCAGTGTGCCGAACTGGATCATCAGCTCATCAATACTAGTCTCCGGTTGGAACAATACAAAATACAATAGAATTGTGTGATACAAATCGCTCAACAAGACAGGAACTGAATTTCTGTATTGTAAATGAATGTCAGTGATGAAAATAATTTCAACCTAAAACAAAAACCGTTTAAACCATAAATCATATCCGAGTTCACTAGACATTCCGAGCTAAGATATAGCAAGGGATCTTCCGTTATCTCTTCTGACAGAGCAAAGACAATCTCTGTCATTAAACAAACGTTGGTGTGTCTATGACACTTATCATTGCCTTGACAGGTGTAACGAATTTAACTGTATGCTTGTCTGTGATAAGCCGGGGTAGACACTCATAGGCGAACGTAAACACACACTGCACATCTCACAGACCCGCGAAACAGCTCGCGCTGATAACGTCCACCGGTGGGTTATCTCCCTTGCCTAATACGCGCTGAGCATTGTTTTTGATGGTACTTCAGCGTTGATCTTTGACCCGTTTTCACCTGTTCCAAATACTACTAATGCTCAATCGGGTATTTGTGCAATTCAGAGTGCCCTGGGTTCAACCCTGTGTCAATCTACCTCCACGTATTTCACAGGTGTTCGACATT